GGCAAACGTTGAAGATATTTCGTACGTAACCGAGGGACGTGGCAGGGAGGCCCAAATAACCAACAAGAAGAAGAGGGACCACAGCAAGGCTCGTGGGGAGAGTACCGTTAATGAGGCCGTGCTAACGGATCATGGCGAAAGACTCGAGAGGCTCGAGAATAAAGTCGCCATAGCGGAGCTTAGCGAACGATTCGAGAAGCTCGAGCACGATATGGAGGTGTTGGAGAATCACGTCGCCGAGCAACTCGATTTGTTTAGGGACAATGAGACGTTGCGGGAGGAACGGTTGGATCGATTGGAGGCCATCATCCAATCCCTCCAAGAGAGCATCGAGGGGATGCGCGACGACTTGGCCTTGTGCAAAAAGGCCGCCGCTAACGGTAGCGTTGGTGCTACTTCAAGTCCAAGGGTGGACTGCCCGAAGCCAACGGGATTCAACGGCGTAAGGGACGCCAAGGAAGTTGAGAACTTCCTATGGAGGATGGAGCAATATTTCGAGGGTATCGGTCTAGTCGACGAGACGACTAAGGTAAGAACTTCTTCCCTTTATCTTTCCGATACAGCAATGTTATGGTGGCGTAGAAAGCACGCCGATATCGAGAAAGGCATTTGCCGAATCGATACTTGGGAAGAGTTCAAGAGGGAACTCAAACGACACTTCTACCCGGAGAACGTCGTCTATGAGGCTCGAAGGAAGTTGAGGGAACTCAAGCAACGAAGTTCAATCCGCGAGTACGTGAAGGAGTTCACCACCCTCACCCTTCAAATTCCCAACCTTTCCGAGGAGGATCTCCTTTTCCACTTCACCGATGGGTTACAAGGCTGGGCCAAGCAAGAACTCCACCGACGAAACATCAAATCCGTCGATGAAGCTATTGCCGCCGCCGAGTCTTTAACCGAGTATCAACCGAGAGAGCCATTGCGAAAAGAGAAGTGGAACCCGACTAAAGGCGGAGAAGAGAGACGGGACAATCATAGTCGGGACGATCGAGACAACCAGACCCAAGGCGAGCGTCAACCTCGAGGGGAGGAGACAAGCCATCCTCGCACCAACAACTTGAAGAGAAGAAGAGGTCGGTTGTGCCTAAGGGAGGATGCTTCGTGTGCAAGGGGCCGCACGCGATGAGTCAATGTCCCAAGATGGGGTCATTGTCGGCACTCTTACAACAAGAGGCCGAGCAAGGCACAAACGAGGGGCTAGGCAACATGGGATCGCTCCAACTTCTGAACGCCTTAAAGGCTAATTCGATGCCGGCAACATCAAGCAAGGGGCTGATGTACGTGGAGGCCCGCATCAACGGTACCCCAGCAAAGGTGATGGTGGACACGGGAGCGACCCACAACTTTATCACCGAGGACGAGGCCAAGAGGGTTGGCCTACGGTGGACCAGACGAGACGGTTGGCTCAAGGCCGTTAACGCTAAGGCACAACCGCTCAACGGTGTAGCACGAGACGCGGAGCTACACTTAGGCACTTGGAAGGGCCAAGTGGATTTCTCGGTAGCACCGATGGATGATTTCAAGGTGGTGCTAGGCATGGACTTCTTCCGCAAGGTAATGGCTATCCCGATGCCTTGTTTCAATTCAGTTTGTATTTTAGAGAAGGGGACACCTTGCATGGTGCCGGCCATCAACGGCATCACTAAGGAAGAAAGCACGCAACCAAGGCAACTGTCGGCCACGCAAGTTGCCAAGGGAGTTCGACGGGGCGAGCCAACATTCTTAGCCGCTTTAAAGGAGGACAACCCACCCGTCAACAAAGAGGAGGACGTACCACCGATCATCCAAACCGTCTTGGAGGCCAACCAAGACGTGATGCCACCGACTTTACCCGACAAACTTCCACCTAGGAGGGAGGTGGATCATGCCAACGAGTTGGAGTACAAACCGGGAAAGGTGAATGTTGTGGCCGACGCATTGAGTAGAAAGGCCGAACTCGCAGCCATTAGCTCGACAAGGGGGAACTTGGCCGACATGATCCGAGAAGGGCTCGAACATGATCCCATGGCCAAGGAGCTAATCCAACTCGTCAAGGAGGGCAAGACGAGGCAATTTTGGGTAGAGGACGGCCTACTCTACACAAAGGGGCAGCGACTCTTCGTTCCGAAGTGGGGCAGCTTGAGGAAGGACCTCATAAGGGAATGCCACGACACCAAGTGGGCGGGGCATCCGGGCCAAAGACGGACAATGGCGTATCTCGAGACGGCCTACTTTTGGCCTCACATGCGGGACAGTGTCGATGCATATGTGAAGACTTGTCTTGTGTGCCAACAAGACAAGGTGGAGAATAAACAACCGGCAGGGTTACTTGAGCCGCTCCCAATCCCCGAGCGACCATGGGAGTCGATCTCAATGGACTTCATTAGCGCCTTGTCGAAGTCCGAGGGGGCCGGATCTATCATGGTGGTGATAGATCGTTTTTCAAAGTACGGGACGTTCATAGCTTGCCCGAGGGATTGCACCGCAGAGGAGGCAGCCCGGTTATTTTTCAAGAACGTCGTCAAGTATTGGGGACTACCGAGGAAAAGTATTGGGGACTACCGAGGAACATCATAAGCGACCGAGACCCACGCTTCACGGGGCGATTATGGACGGAGCTTTTCAAGCTTTTGGGGTCCGAGCTTTGCTTCTCGACGAGTTTTCACCCCCAAAACGACGTGCAAACGGAGAGAGTGAACGCCCTACTCGAGTGCTACTTACGGCACTTCGTGGGAGCCAATCAAAAAGATTGGGCGAAGCTCCTCGACGTGGCTCAATTTTCTTACAACTTGCAACGGAGTGAAGCCACGGGGAGGAGTCCATTCGAGCTTGCAACGGGACAACAGCCACTTACGCCACATACTTTGGCTACGGCAACCGACGGACGGAGTCCCGGAGCATTGAAGATGGCTAAGTCGTGGGAGGAACAATCCGACTTAGCCCGGGCGTGCCTTGTGAAGGCTAGGCGACAAATGAAGAAATGGGCGGACGAGAAACGGCGACCACGGGAGTTCGACGTTGGGGCCCAAGTGATGGTGAAACTATTACCCCAACAATTCAAGGCATTACGGAGCATGCACAAGGGACTTGTGCGAAGGTACGAAGGACCATTCCCGGTGATCGCCAAGGTCGGTAAAGTTTCGTATCGCCTAGAACTTCCAAGTTCTTTGAAAATCCATCCGGTCTTCCATGTGAGTATGTTGAAGCCTTATCACGAAGACAAGGAAGACCCGAGCCGAGGAGAGTCGCACCGAGCACCACCCATCATGACTAAGTCATACGATAAGGAGATCGAGGAAGTGCTCGGCCGACAATTGAAGCGACGTAGGGGAGTCCACCGAGTATTCAATACCTCATCAAATGGAAGGGATTACCCGAGTCCGAGGCAACGTGGGAGACGAAGGAAGACTTGTGGCAATTTCAAGATCGTCTCCACTTGTTCGAGGCAACGAGGACGTCGCCGGATTATGCGGGGGAGGATGTCACGGCCCGCTAGTTTTGACCCAACCCCTTGCCAATTTCCCTTGGGTTGGGGAGCTTAAAGAGTCAAAGACTTAGCCCAAATAGGGTTAGGCCCAAGTTGGCCCAAATGTATAGAGGTAGGTGGTGGTAGGTAGAGACATTTTAGGGATTCTTTGGAGTGTTCCACTCCCAACCGTTAGATCATATCGATCTCCACTGTCCATTGAGGAGGTGGTCTTGTATAAATAGAGGTAGGGTCCTCATTTGTAATCATCCAACAAAAATCCAAGAAATACAATAAGCACTCAAGCAGTACTTTTTTATTCTCTTGTCTTCTTAATTTCTTTCTTCGTTTCCATCACTTAAGTATTCGCAACACATTCGGGAGAGGCTGACTTAGCTATCGCGAGGGGTGAGAAGGAGCTAAGGCCGCACGGCTCGTTGTTGAAGGAACAAGTCCGTGACATCCCGCCCCAGCATAAAAAATTCTTTTTACCTTTTATTTTTTTATTTTTTTTAATATTTTAGGTTATTTATGTATTCATTTATACACTTAAGCCCCCCCCCCCCCAAAGTTAAAATTTTATACCATTTTACCCTAAAACTTTTTTTTCGCCCCCCACCCAAATCCTCCTGAATCCGCCCCTGGACGTTCTTCCATTAAACTACAATTAATAATGTGTCACATCTAATGAAGCGTAATTTGGTCTTACAGATAAGGTTTGTAGATATACACTCTATGAAATACACTAGATTATCTTTGTTGAGGGAATCTTTGTCTAGGGAATCTCACTAATTTAAAATGAAACTTTGGTGTGTGGAAAAGTCATTAAAGTCAATGGTATTTACCTCAAAATGGATATTGCATACTTGATCGAGCTTCAAGTACGTGACAATATACATGAACTCATTACGCTCTTCCCACAGAAACGTAAATCAAGCCTACTTTTCTTTCATACACACAATATATCAACACATATCATTCCACAACCCAATCACTTCAAATATTATAGGATTTTCTTTGTCCAATTTTAAAGTTTTTTATTTTGATTTTTTCTTTTCAACTAGCCAATAAATAGATGTCTTCTTCGCCACTTCATTTGTTTATCTTATATGTTAAAGAAAGAAACGTTGGGTGTCCCTAAGAAACCCTAATGACATTTTTATAATTATTTATTTTTAATATTTTTTTATTAATTTTCTAACTATATTTTCAGCAATTATCAAAATTAACACTGAACCGTGAATAATCGTTCCGGCTTCAATCTGTTATTTTTCATCAATATATGTATATCTCAAATATTAAGAAATAAAGATAAAAATTCAATTTGTTAAATTGATCAATTTTTTTCACTTTTAAAATATGTTCCCGTGCATCGCACGAGAAGAAAATGCTAGTATTTTTAAAACAAAAAACCCCACAACGGCAAAACAAAACCCTATTTATATCACGTTTTGATTTACGGTCAAACCGGCCAAGCCAGACCGGGCAAAGCAATGGTCACGATTAATCAATTCAACTGGACAATCCGGTCCAGATTTCAAAACCGTTGTATAAACATCAAACAACTTATTTTACCTCATTTATATAGAAATGGAATATAGCCAATTTGTATTGAGAAATTTAATTACAGTAACCGAGAACACAACACCATTTTCACTAAAATCAACAAGTTTTCTTGTTTCAGAAATCATCTAATGACAATATATACAATCAATGTACAGATAGAAATACAAGTCACGAGCGAAATAAAATAGGATAGATATCGAACCCCGGAATAACAAATCTTACAAGGAAAAGAATTCTACAAGGTTGTCTCTATCTCCGCCCTTGTCAACAGAAATCTGCACCGCAGTTCAACACAGAGATCAATCCAGTGTTAAACATCATTTGTTTATGATTAGAGATGTTTAAGTATGTATTAATGTAATATAATTTTTTGTAAAAAAATATTTTTACTATTTCGTAAAATAAAAAAATAAAAAAAACAATTTATATAGTTAGGAAATTTACCAGCAGAAGATCCTCATCAGTGCCAAAAGATTTATGGGCCTGTTCCAAACACCACGACGTAACCCTCTCAATTTTCCTGCCAAAAAAAAAATTAATTCATTAGAAATGAAGTTCGAGGACTAACTATATAAAAATAAAGAAGCGAAAATAACCTTGAGCTGGCAGGATCTCGAATCTCAAACTCGTTTGTAAGAGCATCGTAGCCACAAATAACAATGTAGTGACCTGTACGGACGGACCATACACGCTGAATCAGTGCAAAAAATCGAATATATGACAATTACTGAGATAAAAAAATATATATTTATTATGTTTGAAATTAAACGTACACACACAAAAGAGACGTTTAATACACAATAAACAAGACTGTGAAGTTCAAATATAGATACGTGTCTTGAATTGTCAGACATATAAAATTCTCGATGCACTATTTCTATATTCAAGATTTTTACTAATAGAAACTTGTAGAAAACTGTAATATAATGATTTTTAGTGTGAAATTATATTGTCGAGTAAAACACGTGCAAGAGTAACGTCATCCTTACCAGTGTAGCCTGGGCTGCTGCAACTATAGAAGTCTGATACGCAACCATCCACTAGCTGAGAATCACTCCTTCCAGAAAAATAAAAATAAAAATAAATTAAAAAAAGGACGAAAATTGCCAAAAATAAAAGGGCTCATGCAAAAATGAAAGTAAGAAAGATGACTGCCCTTTTATCGAGAAATATGAGACATACCACAATTTATCCTGATCGACCAAAGCAATAGCAACATATTTTCCAGACAAGATAAAGCCGGAAATTTCTTTGGCACTAACGGATCTGCACTGTAAACACGAGCATTTGCGTCATGCATAAATAAATCAGCATTGTAAATAATGACAAGAACGACTTGCGAAACTGTATGCAGAAAAGAAGTAAAAAATAAGGTTAAAAAATTAAGCAGACGGAGAAATATTGTACCTCTATACAGATTCCAGCTTCACGAGCTTCGTGGAACAGCGTATTTACTCGTAATAGATCGTTAGGCAATTGGTCCTGCCAATTTTATTTTTCAATATTGAAAGTTTAGAATATGTCGATTGTTAATTAAGTGTATCCACACAGTTCTAAATAATATTTGAAGTCCAACTAGTTCATCAATCCTTAATGTTGCAACTGCTTTGAGAGGGTTTTTCCGTTTGCAAAAAGATATTTTTTTTTACCAAACTACCATCACATGCTCATAAATAACCATAAAAAATAATAAATAAATAAATAAAAAGTTGGAAAAAGAAAATAAAATGGCCTTCTTCCTCGTTTATCTTTCCTATTTTGCACACAAATCCCTCACCCAAGGAGCAATATTTACAGATGAAGCAGAATGAATTCAACAAGAATACACGATAGATTCGACGTATTACATCCACATAATGGGCCATATTTAAATAAAAAAAAGATTAAAATATAATCTTCAGAATCGAGAAAATAGAACTCAAAATGCAGCAAATCATTAACTTACATAAGCAAGTTCTTTTAACGAGAATGGACGGGTGTGTGTACCTTGTAGAACGTCTCGACAGAAAAATCTGGATTGCCTCCTAATGTGACGGTACAATACGTAAAGCTTACAGAAAACTTGTGCAGCAAGTAAGCCAAATCAACAGTCCAAATACTGAAACATGCACAGTATAGTACACTATCAGAACCTTTCATTCACCAAACTTTTTAGCACAACAGACTTCAATACATGTCATAACTATAATCAGTGAATAAACAAAAAAGGCACAACTTGCTCGTATCTTGAATACACAAAATATTAGCGCGGGACAGAAGTAAAAATGACAAACACAGCTTATACACATTTGATTAAGACATTCGATTTAATAGCAGTCGGAAAGATTACTAGCAGTTCCAAATCAGTTTTTTCTTTTTTTTTTTTGAGCACCTATAGTTAATTTGAATTTATATTAAAGGAATGCAAACTCACTTTGACGTTTGGACATTGCCAGAGCAAATATGATTCGACGAAATAAAAATGTCCAAACTCTAATGAACTAAGGTTTAAAATGTTTTGGGTAAATTACGGCCACCCCAGTGAGGTAAGGTCAAATTACGAAAAAAACCCTCATGTTTGAGTAATTACAACTGCCCCTCAACTATGAATCTTCTTGAACGTCCGCCCTTGCGGTGTCAAATTTAGCGGAATCTTCTACATATGTGGAATGCTCTCCAGTTTGTACCCGTTTTATCCCATTCGAGCTCCACATAATGAAACGAGATGATAATAAGACGTGTCTCTTGACTTGTAAATATCAGACTGTGGTGCATCAAAAACTGCATTTTTGTACAAAAAGAGTACGAACTAGAGAACATTCCACCATGTTGAATTTGACACCATAAGGATGGACGTGTAAGAAGATCGTTGTTGAGGGGTGGTTGTAATTACCCAAACAGGAGGAGGGTTTTCGTAATTTGACCTTACCTTAGGGGTGGCCGTAATTTACTCAAATGTTTTAACTTAAGACACCAGCTTAAAAGGCATCGTTTTCTAGACTACTACGCTCCTAAACATATAAGCCGAAACATAATAAGCTTCAAAACCGTTAAAAGGGTATTAATGAATCGGTGAGAGCTTCAAAAGTGTGGTGAAAAGAATAATATACCTTGTTGTACTGCAGAGATCGCACAGTTGTTGAATATTACAGTCGTAAACACCGAGCAGTCTCAAAACCATTAGAACACAAGCAAGACCACAATCCCACGAGTGCTGTTGATTTATATGAGGGACCTGACACAAACAAACACAGTTCAAATCATAGAAAACAAAACAAAAAAAAAACGATGGAAGGAAGAAGAAAACGCTCGAGACTTACTTCAATAAAGTGGGACAATATTTGAGTTCTGCTCTGTTCCTTGTTTGACGACGACTTTTCAATACTGTACGATTCGACGAAGTGGAAATGATCGCCAGCTGGCCAATCGAAATTCTCTTCGTACGCTTTCAAAAGTTTGTTCATGATGAGATTTATAGACCACATCTTACGGTTAAGTAGTAGTATCTCTCGTATCAATATATCAACACTAGAAACTTAATCCGTATCAACAGTATATGTGAATCCCTCTTCGTAAACTCCACGTCAAGCAAAGATAGCTTGAAAATCAACGACCCTTGCCTGTAATCAAAGAAGCTTATTCACGCTACTACCATTCGACACTAACAAAAATTTAAGGAAATCCCAAAACGAAAAAAATAAATACGTAGAAGACGAATTTATCACTACAAATCAAGATCATCGACTGATGAAAATAAAACAGATGACAATTTGATCCCTCTCGTACACACATTAAGAAATCTACGAATATCGGTCAATTGTGTGAATTTGTTTTTAAATGTTATTCTAATCTTTTCTTTGTTCCTTTGTTTTTGGTCGGAAAACGAGTAAATTCAATCAATAATACTAAGAATTTCATATGCAAGAACACAGAAACAATCAAAAGTCAAAACCCACAGCAAAAATATTGGATAAACCTTGGCTCAATCCGAAGAAAATCAAAAATCACTTGCCATCTATCATTCATTCAACAAACAAACCGTACCATCAAAGTCAAAACATCCAACAAACAATTAACAACCAACAAAACGTCTCATCTAAATAAATAAATAAATGATGGAAACAAATAAAGAAACTTTCAACGCCAACCCAATTCAATTAACCAGAAAATAGTAAAAAAAATAATTGTTACCTCACGGTAAATCAAATTATCTGCAGAGATAACAAAAAGAGAAATTGGAAAAGGGGTCTTGTTTTTTCGCGAGGGAAAAAGCAGAAAGTGCTTTTTCAAGACAAAATTGAAGGGATGCAGAGAAAAGGGGCTGTCAGGAGTGGCGTTTCATTCGTTCGGTTACAAAATGGGGGTATATGTATATCTATATCTATATCTAGTTTTGGATAACAATGAAAATATATGAAAATGTAAAGGCCTATAAGAGAAGAACAAGTGCGTGATTCTATTCTTCTTTTTTTTCTTTTTTTATTTGCTGTAAATGAACTTTCTTTTCTTGCTGTTGGGAGATTGCGGGTGGGTGGGCGGTGATGAAAACGTTTCTAGAGTTGGTAAAAAGTAGGGGTGGAAGGGAATTTCCAATTTTCGCCAGTTTTTCGTCTAAAAAGTTTCGATTTTGGAATAATTTTTTTCATGCCCATCTCTGAAATATGGAATTGTTCGATGTTTCTGATTTTTTTTGTGTTGGAATTGAAATTATTTAAAATATATTTGGAATTTCCGATCTGATTTAATTTCTAAAATCAATTCCAAAAATTTCGATTTATTTTTCGAAAAATACGCCAATATAGTTGGAAAAATATACCAATTTATATAAGACTTTATTTATTTTAATTAGTGTAACAAATTATATATTTATTTTTATCTTAATGGGCCATGTTGGAAAGTCGAACTATTTCCCTTCCTTTTTCTCACGTAAGAAAAGAAAGCCTTAATTTCTTCCATAGTTTCGATTTTATCATTTCAATGATTTATACTTTTGTGTTATTTGAAATTGAAATAGGTGTCTAGTGCAATTTGAATTATTTTATATTTTTTTTATAAAATATTAGAGTTTACCGTATTAGTTGTATTAGTCGTTTTAGTTTTATGATTTTATGAAAGTGGGTTTTCTTATTATTGAAAATTTATGAATATTTCCGAAACTTTTTGTTAAAACTTACGTGATTTCCGAAATTCCAATTTTCATAACTTTTAGAATTAGAATGAATTTCTAGATTTCTAAACTTTTGGAATAGGAATTAGAATTAATTTTATACTTGACAAAAAAAATATTTTTTTTCTGAAAAAGTCAACTCCAATGTGTTCCACAATTCCATTCGACCTTAGGTGGATGGGTTGGTAATTTTCAATGTCTTTTATAAGTTTGTGGGCCAAGAATTGCCTTCCAACCGACTAATTAATTAGTGCAATTATATAAAAAAAAATCTACGAACAGTTGGGTCCATATATTTATTTCCCAAAAATGCACAAAAATCACTATCGTCCTCTCCAATTAAATTTATGTAGTTGTTTACCCTTTCTCATGACATATAAATGTTTATTATATCGAAATGCATGTGATAATAACTTATCCTACAATTGTGTCTAGGAATGGGCTGAACATATTCAATGAGAATTAGATGATGTGTCCCACTTAGTCATTGGTAGTAGGGTTGTTTGTGGGCCGGTTTTACCCACCAACAAGGGGTTATTTATATAAATGATGCAATAGTAGAATCCATAAACAAAAATGGTGTGGTTTTTTTGGAATTTACAAAAGTGGCGTAAAACTTCACTTGTAGAGGCGATTTCTGGCATGCATAGAGAATTGTGCCAAAAGAAGTCAGGTATTTTGTTTTTTTGTTTGGTAGTGATTAACAGGTGAGATTGAGAGGAAAAAAATGAACGACCGAGATGGCTGCATAGTAAAAATCACGGACTGCTATCGCACTTTGCAGAGGCGATTTCTGCAAAAACAAAAACCACCTCTTCAAGAGGCGATTTCTGCCAAAGGCTGCTGCAAAGCAGCCTCACTTTATTTCGGCCACCAATAATCGAGAGGAGGGGTTGTGGGTGGGGCCAATCTTGCATTTAAATTGGCACGTGAATGGAGGGGGTAGTTTGCTTTTACTCCCTTCTCTTCTTCTTCATTCTTCGCAAATTTTCAACATAGAATTTTCAACCCAGGTATTCCGTGAACTCTTTTTTTTTCTTTAGCAAATTTTTTAACTTTTTTTTTTAAATAATGTTGTTTAATGTTTTTAAAACACGGGGTTGTTATTATAATGTTATATTAACTTAATCTGTTTATTTATATATTTTCAGTTTTGTAACAGAAAATTATAAAATACAGGTATGTTTAGTTAGTTTTATAATTTTTCGTTTTTTAATTTGTTTTTAAAATATTGTACTAATTTTAATTTCTTTTGCAGAAGGTGAAAGTAAAAATACGAAGGTATGTTCTAATATGTTTAGTATATGTAATTTTTTCATTTCAATTTGTAAAAAATTGAATGTACTTTTTTTCGTGTTTTATTTGTTGAGTTATTTCATAGTGTGTGGGTTGAAGAAACGGACCAATTTAATGATGTTGTTTGCTTAATTTTAAGTTATACTTAAAATTTAATTAGATATATATAGAAATTTAATTCGTGAGTTGATTTATATATATATTTGTAGATAATTTTAGGTAATTTTACATTCTAGTTCCATTTTTATAAAATTAGTTAGTTTTCAACTTGTTTTTTGGTTGGAGCATAATTCCTAAAATAACATATAGTTGAGTAGTGTGTGTTTTCAAATTTTTTTGTGTGAATTTTTTTTCAACTTGTACTATTTTTTTTTGTTAGATTGCAATTGAACGAGAGGATCGAGTTGTATCCGAAGAACAAATGGATTGTTTAACATCTAATCATATACTAATTTCAGGTATTTTAAAGTGCTTTTTAAAAATTTATGACATGTTATTCATTGCGTAAAATGTGGTATAGTATAATTATTAGCATAATATAATTATGTTGTTTGGGTTTTGGAACTGTATATAGTTAAAGAATTTTAATATTAATTGTTTGATAATAAATTTTTTAATTAATTATATTTGTTTTCACCATAAAAAATAGGTGAATTTAATGGCACCTAATAAGAGCCGAGTCAAAGTAATCGTGTATATTGGGGGTAATATAATTCAAGATGATTGGTCGGTGGAATACGATTGTCCTCACAAAGCAATTTTTCGAATTAGAAGGGATACTTCTTTCCAACTACTATTATCGAACTTGTACGAACGATTCGAAATAGACAATACTAGGTTCACTCTAAAAGTTCGGGGAAAACTTTTTCGCTTATATGGGGATAGGGTTAAATCAATGCTGTGTGAAATTAGTACGGATCAAGATTTGGAAATGTTTCTTGATCCGGAAGAAGGGAATGATTCAATGGACATTTTTGTTCAAACCATCCCATTATACAATAATGCACCGCCTCCACAATTAACTTTCGATCTGAATGAGCCCTACAACATAGTCTCACAATTGAGTCCGAAAGTGGTTGCTGTCACACAAGGATTTTCTAGCATGCAATTTACGAATTTTGGTGCTGGAACATCTGCACCTCCGACAAATTTTGGTGGTGGAAATCGTGGGGAGACGAGCACAAGGAGAGAAGTCCGGCACCCCAATACAAATGAGCCAACAGAAGATTTTACAGACATACCGGGAGATTTCTTTGGGGTCGATCCTCCTGTTGACTCGGAACCATCCGATCAAAAAGATTACGACAACATCGACGGGGACCATGACCATGATGATGGTGAGAATGTTGCCAATGTTCCTCATAATATGCCATCAGTGGCACCAACCCAAAACCAACCTCACTTGTACGAGCCAATACCTTTCTACTCAATGGATTATGAAGAAATGATGGCGGACTCATTTGATATTCCAGACGGGCAATTGTCAAAGTTTTACGATGCCGATGAAGGTGTTATTGAAAAAGGGATGATTTTCAAGAGTAAAAACAGGCGTCCGCCTAGATGTGGGACCGGTGGACATCTCGGACGTCATTGATGCTCTTGTTTTTAGTAGTTGACATTGTGTATTTGATATCTATGTATTCTTACATTTATCTAATTTTTATTTAATTATGTATGACGTTAAATTTTAAATTCTTAATTTAGAAAAGAAAAAAAAATATATATATATATATATATATATATATATATATATATATATATATATATATTGATAAAAAAAAAAAAGAAAAAAAAAAAACAAAATCACATCTCCTAGAGGCGATTTATGCCTTGTCAAACTTTTGGCCAGAAATCGCCTCTACAAGTGGAGGTTTACGCCACTTTTGTAAATTCCAAAAAAAACACACCATTTCTGTTAATGAGTTCTACTATTATATCATTTATATAAATGACCCCACTAACAAGCTTATTTTGATCCATACTTTTTATATTATGAATAATCAGCCATCAATCAATTCATTCAAGTTGGGTCAATAATATCAACCAATTTATGTATAATTGGGTTGATAATAGTTTATAATATGCTAAAAAATTGGTTGGTCAGTTAATATTAGACAACCAGCTTTATTTATTATTTATTAATTTAATTAAATTATCTAGTGTTAACTAAATTAAAAGGACATAAAACTAATAACCTAATTTTGGAATTATTCTGGATGACATTTTAAACTAGTAACTCACCCGTGTGATATACGGGATCAATTCTAATTTCAATTTTTTTAATGACTAAAACACGTCGATGATGTAAATCAAACACCTTTATTAATGAAAAGAGGCTTCTAATGCGATGCACGGGGGTAATATAAAAAAATGAAAATATGTTTTAAATAAAATAATCGAACAAAAACTTTGAATAGTTAATATATAATACGATATAATCTTAAAATTTAAAAACAATATCAATTACATTTGATTTAAGTACCAAGATACACAAAATAAATGATAAAAGAAAATATAAAATACAAAAATTGTGATACAAAAAATAAGATACATTATCTGACCCGAATGATACAACTATCTCGTCCAATACACTCGAATTCTTAACATGAAACTTAATTATCAAAATAGTGTTTTACGGCACATGCATTGACGTCGCCTATACCTCATCTAATATCTTGCGAGTAACATGTACATTTTTCATTGTTCAAATGCAATCAATGATACACATTACTGAAACACAAATCACCTAAAATAGTTCATGCCACCTCTACTCTTAACTCTCCACATTCCGACGTATAATAGTTCATGCTACCTCTAATACTAATATAATATTAATACTAATATTAATGCTAATATCAATCCTAAAAGTAATACTAATACCAATACGAATATCAATACTAATACGAATAACCATACCGAATATCAATGTCAATACCAGTATCAATATTAATACCAATACTAATACAATATCAATAATAATATCAATACTAATAAACATTATCTTAAATAACTTGTCAAATTTGTTGGTGCAATGTGCATCAACCCTGTAAGTGTGCAATAGGTCTCCACATTGTTGACAACGTATCTATTCTTCAAATCCCAACGTCACCGGATATCATACTAAAGTTATTTGTATATGCAAAAACAACGAAAATCAACAAACTATATACATGTGCACGTAACTGCAAAATATACAAAAAAAAAAAACATTTAGTATAAATTATTATGCCTATATATTAAACAAATCGTAAAAACATCATATACATGTGCAATTAAATAAAATGACTGATCACTAAAAAATTTAGTTCAAATTTATTTTTTTACAAATTTATATGTTAGGATAACTGAACATTTAGTTTTTTCTTTTTTGTTTTTTATGAAAAGATGAGATGAAAGACTTGAATGTGATGTGTTGGGGGTTTTATAGGCCGGTAGAATATGGCGAGAAGGTAAATGGAATAGTTGATGTTCGTATATTAATTTTATTGAATATATGATTCACAAATAAAATATAATGAATTAGTTTTGAAGCCCTACTGTG